CTGAGGATATAGTTTTTGCCTAAAACTAACTATATTTAGTGGCATTCCAAATTAAAAGGTTCAAACATTTAAATAAATCACGATTTAAAATTGAGTAGCGCATTGACTCAATTCAGAGAGGACTGGTGAGAGCATTTCGTCGTCTATATTTTCATTAGTCTATGGTAGAACTAAGGCATAGTCAATGAATCAATTGCCCTTGTACGATTTCAAACCTAGTTTAGGTTTTAATTTCTCAATTACGTTGCCACTTGCAATCTATTTTTCGATTTTAATACCTCGGCATTTTTTATAATCCTGTAAAGAAAAAAAATTAGCAAATATAATTACATAAAATTATTTAGATTTGATCATGGTAATTAAGTAATACTTTCGGAATATGCTCATTATTTACATATTAATGAACAAAAAAAATATTTTTAATAAAATTGTCTTTACCATCTCTACTAAAGCCTTCTGAATTTCCGCCTCCCGTTCAATGTACATCTTTAAAATATTCATTTTCTCCTCCTCTATGTGTATTAGTTTCCTCATAGTTGTATTCACTTCATTAAGCATCTGTTCAATTTTAATTTCAATATTTTTGAAATGTAGTTTTAATTCGACGCCACCATTTCCGTCTGTTTCCGAAGCAAGAGTCGCTTTTACATTGCAAAGCAACTGCAATTGAGTCAATATCATTTTCACAACTTGTAATTTTTTGGTGTCCAATGAAGTTCCCTCAATAATTGTCGGTAGGGCCAAACGTCTTCGTCGTAATATCAGTTTTGTAATAATTTCTTTTTTATTTGTCATTTTATTTAACGTAATAGTTAAAAATTTTCCTATTCTTTGGCTATTTTGACAGACTGAACTGAATTAATTACCATATACTTAATTCGCTCTCTCTGCTGGCATAATAATGAGAGAGAGTGACTTACAAATGCTCTCATGAAAACATAACGTAATTGTTATCGTTTTTCCTCATTTCGATTTTGATAATCGACATATGGCCACAAACAATATGGCCACTCCCCGAATAATTGACAGTAAAGCAACAACAGCACGACAAGCGTCACTGTTTCCAATTGTGTGAGAAGTACTTTTTTTTTTGTTAAGTAGAAAGATTGTTGAAAACATTTCAATATTTTTTTGTGGCTACGGAAATTAATTAAGTAAATAAATAGAAGCATCCATCAATCACGGAGGCCACAACATGAAATCGGGTTTAAATCAAAAATGGCTGGTGTGTCGCATTTGCCTCAAACAACCCAAAGAGGAGATGCAAACAATATTCGATAAAAATGCTGAAAAAGATTTGACGCGTATGATATTAGAATGTGGTGGTGTACCTGTAAGTGGCTTCCACGAAAAAAAAAATCAACAACAACAAACTCCAAATGTGGAACAATAACCATTTATATGAAACCCTTTTCCATTACAGATAAAACAATTCGATCATTATCCGGATAAGATATGTAAAATCTGTTTTAAATATCTGCAAGTGGCCTATAAATTCCGTCAAAGTTGTCAAAAGTCTCACAAGCATTTAAGTAAATTTATAGCACCCGTCGAAGTTGACGATCCCAAAGATGAGCTGCTTTGTAGTAATGATGATGATTACACCAATGATTCAACACAAAATACAGTGGCTTTTACCGACGAGGGCTATGTGCTGGAGGATGCAAATGGTGATAATGTCCTAATCAAATTGGAACAAGATACAATAGTTAATAATAATGCATCGGCAGCAACAGCATCATCATCATCGGGTGCACCTGTCAAAGAAGAATATTCGGTGCACATCGAAGAAGATGATGAATTTGTGGAAATCTATGAACCCATGACGGAGGAAGAGGAAAAGGAAGTTTTCCAATTGGCCGATGAGGCTTTCGAAATTGATGTGAGTAAAATGGGAACAAATGCACTTTACGGACACCTCTCAGATCATTTTGAAAGTTGAAGTTGGAGTATTTTTTGAACTTTCGAACCCCATATCTCGGGAAGTACTGATTTCCCCCCGAAAAAAATTATGTTGCTGTAATCAGCATCAGAAGGGCTACTTATGGTTAAAATTTCAAAATGATCTGAGAGGTGTATGTAAAGTGCATTTAAGCCGTAAATACGTTTAATGTAAATCGATGAAACACGTTGTGGAAGGGCTGTATGCGTGACACTTGTTTTAAATTTCTCGAATCGAACTTCGAAACATAGACATAGGCCGGCTATGGGAGCTATATATTAATCTGAACCAATTTTCACGAAACTTAGCACATATCAATCTAGACTTAATTCAGGACGCTGTGTAAAATTTCGTGCAAATCCAAAGATATATAGGGACTTTGGTGCACCATTTACAATAAATAGGACGAAAATATATATGGGAACTATATCTAAATCTGATCCGATTTTAATGAAATTTAACGCACATCATTCTAGACTTAATTTAGTGCGCTATACCAAATTTCGTACAAATCGAAAGATATATAGGGACTTTGGTTCACCATTTATATCAAATCGGACGAAAAAAATATATAAATCTGAACCCATTTTCACAAAATTTAACACACAATATTTTAGACATAATTCAGTACGCTATGCCAAATTTCGTGTAAATCGACAGATATATAGGTACTGTGGTGCACCATTTTCATAAAATCGGCGTAAAATTTATATGGGAGCTACATATAAATCTGAGTTGATTTTCACGAAGCTTAGCACATATCAATCTAGACTTAATTCAGTACGATGTGCCAAATTTCGTGCAAATCGAAAGATATATAGGGTCTTTGGTTCACCATTTATATCAAATCGGACGATAATATATATGGGAGCTATATCTAAATCTGAACCGATCTTCACGAAATTTAATACACATCTTTCTAGCCTTAATTCAGTACGCTAAGCCAAATTTCGTGCAAATCTAAAAATATATAGGGACTTTGGTGCACCATTTCTATTAAATCGAACGAAATTATATATGGGATCTTTATCTAAATCTGAACCGATTTTATTCTAAAAAACTAAATAAAATTCCATCTATTTTCCAGAGTCTAGCTGGCAGTCAAGATCACATTGAATATTTAGAATTGGAAGAAGATCTTGAGCTACCCTCATCGGATAATGATGAATATGTACCCGATGAAGAACGTAAACCAGCACGCAGTCGACTTGTTATGAAACGTACCATTGTTAAGCCATCAACCAGCCAACAGCAAACGGCGGGAACAAGACGTAAACGTACCGGTACCCGAGAAAAGAAACCTAAAGATACAGCGTATATATGTGATTTTTGTGGCAATAAATATCCATCACAGGGTCGTCTGACGGAACATATAAAATTACACAAGGGCATTAAGCCACATGAATGCGAGTAAGTACGTTTGTTCTTGATTTAAAGAATGTTGATGAAATTTTCTGTTTTTTTATTAATTAGAATTTGCGGTTATGCTTTTGCCCAAACCCAACAATTGGCCAGACATATGAATACCCATACCGGTAATCGACCATATAAATGCAGTTATTGTCCGGCGGCCTTTGCTGATTTGTCGACCAGAAATAAACATCATCGGTAGGTGAAATATTAACGAATTAAAGAGCAACATAAATAATTGAGGGTGTTTTTTCGTTTCTTTTTTCTCTTTTTTTAGTATCCACACAAATGAACGTCCCTATGTTTGTGATGTTTGCGGAAAATCATTTACCTACACCAACACATTGAAATTCCATAAAATGATACATACCGGCGAAAAACCATTTGTGTAAGTAGATAAACGTGAGACAAAAAATTCTAATTTCTATATGAAAAAATCCCAATGCTGTTCCTTGTCTTGGTGACCTTCAATTCATCATTTACGAGTTAGAAGACTTTTTAGGTTTTCTTTTTTCTATAACATCTTCTGGTATTCTATGAAAAGGCTTTCTAGTCTTCTAGGAGAATATATGCTGACATTCTAGAAGAAAAATTTCTGATTTTTTATAAGAACACATTTTGCTATTCTATGAGATCTTTCGCTTTTCTATGAGAAAACTTTTCGATCTTCTAGGAAAATAAGGATACATTGTGATCTTCGACGATACGTCTCTTTAACTTTTCCTGAGAAACGCCTTGATCTAAGACATTCTGTCCTCTATGTGAGAAGACATTCTTCTGTATATTCTTCAAAGAACAGAATTGAAAACATATTTTGATCCTCTACAGAAGAACATATGGTTCTGCAGGTTTCGAAAACAATCTTGAAAGTTTGTCCTGGATTTTGTAAGGAGGTATTCTTATAGGCTTCCGTCAGAAATTTTTGGTATTCTGTGAGAAGATTTGTTGGTCTTCATTGAGAATATTTGTTGGTCTTCTTCAAGAATATAATATGATGATGAGGATACATTTTGGAAACGTTCTCTTGATCTCCGGAAAGACATAAACAAGGTCTTTGAGAAGAAAGACAGTTAAAATACCATCTAGTCTTCTATGGAAATAAAAGATATTGGGACTTATTTTCAAAATTTAACGTTCGGTCTATCTCAAAATGTATTTATTTTAATTTTTTCTTTTTCTCTTCTTTCAGATGTGATATATGCGGCAAAGGATTCCAACAGGCCTATAAATTACGCACTCACAAAATGACCCATGAAAAGAAGGGTATAAAACTGAGTATGTCTCAAATTGAGAATAGTAATAATATCATGGAACAGCAGCAGCAACAACAAGAACAAGAACAGCAACAAACGTATCACGAAATGACTGTTGTTGAAACAGGAACACATCAGCTTTTGCAGATTTAAACCAAACTATTCACATGCAGTGAATAAAAACAAAACCCTTTTTCTTTAATTTTTTTTGTTTAGTTTTGACCACACAATATATATATATATATACATAACTATAATATCTGGAAAAAGAAGAAAATAATACACTCTGAAAGTTTTTTTTAGATAATTCTTAATACCTATTAATTTCTTGAGTTGTAATCGCATAAGTAAAATAAACAACAACAAAATAATATAATTTACAAAACTCCACATTTTTATTATTTCACATTTTTTTTAATTCTTTAAAAACTTAGCATGATAGGCAATATGTTCACCCACAAATGTAGCAATATAATAATAGCTATGATCATATCCCTCACGTTGTTTGTAGATGGCCTGCAAATGATCATTTGCCGCACAGGCAGCCAACAGATTATCGGGCAGTAATTGTTTTTGTTTGAGGAAATTATCATCACTACCCTGATCGATGAAAAGTTCCAATGGTGTACCCGAGTATGTTTGGGCCAAATGGGTGGCATCATATTGTTTCCATTGTTCTTTGTCGTCACCCAAATAGCCCTTGAAAGCTTTCTGGCCCCAAGGGCATTCAGTGGGATTGCAAATGGGTGCAAAGGCAGATACAGATTGATATTGGCCGGGATTTTTAAGGGCACAGATCAAGGCACCATGACCACCCATGCTATGACCAAATATACCCTTCTTATTGGGTACAACGGCGAAATTTTTATTTACCAATTCCACCAGTTCTTCGGTAACATAAGAATACATCAGATAATTCTTGGACCAGGGTTCTTGAGTGGCATTCACATAAAAGCCGGCACCCGAACCAAAATCATATGAATCATCTTCACCGGGGATATTGACATTACGTGGAGAGGTATCGGGATTAACGATCAGTATGCCCTCCTTGGCTGCATGCTGTTGCATACCGGATTTGTGTATGAAATTCTCATGGGTACAGGTTAAGCCGGAGAGGTAATAAAGGACGGGACATTCTTTTTTCTCTTCCAACATGCAGGGTGGCACGAAGACGGAAAATTTCATTTCACAACCCAACACTGTCGAATTGTGACTGTAGATACGTTGTTCGCCTTCGAAACATTTGCTGCTGGATATTAATTCAAGGGCCATGATTTCGAGTAGTTATTTTACAATGTCCCGCACGTACAAACACTATCCGAAACGAATTTACAAATCAGCAATTGTATTCTGAACTTAAGATAAGGCACACAGATTGGCGGACATTTAGAGTTGCCAATCAATGGAAATTTTTAGAAACATTCCATATCATGCAAAAAACTTAACGTACACTGAGGATATTTTGTGCGGGATAGTCTGTGATTAAATATCAATGGGTATATACACATAATGACGGTTTTCGGCCTCAAAATTGGATGTCGAAAATCGAAACGCACTTCAAATGCCTTAGGACAAAAAGTTCCTCTGGTGTACAAAGGTTTTGAACGGTAAGCTGGTAAGTACGAAAGGTTAGTCGAAGAGAGTAATCCTGATCTGAAATAAGATAAGATCTATCGGTCCACTCTTTCTTGTATATACACCACAAAACGTTAACATTTTGAAAACATGTAAATTGCACATGAAGTGTTGGTGGTATGCGATAAGATCCATCGAATATTTATCAAACCAAATATATCACCCAGCACCTTTTTTTCTCAAGTCTGATGTCAAATATTTGGACTTGTTTACGTTTTCATAATGGAAGTCAATACACAATAGTGCAGTTTGAGAGCACACATGAGAAACAGCTGATATGCAGCTGGTCTCTCTAGATGACCTCACTAATAGGTGTTGAAAACAAACTTTAATTAAACCCAATTTCTTTGTTCTTATTTCCAAAAAAATGAATGCTTGATACGCAAAAAAAATGCTCTACGTCATCCACTAACTGCAGTAATAAAAATAAAAGTTGGCAACTCCGTATTATGACAATTGTGCCTGAGAAACAACGTTTGTAAACAAAACAAAAACGTTCAAAGAAGTTTATTTATAAAGAAGTTCCCCCAAGAAAAAAATGTCTGAAGAAGCGGCCAGTTCCAGCAGTTTTGGTTTCAAAAAACGGAATATCAAAAAGCCAGCATTTCGAAAAAAGCAAGAGTCCAGCAATGAGTCCGGTAAGTAAATTAATAAACCCAACATCCCTTCCCCTTCAATCCATTAATCCCAACACACACTTTCAGATGCCGGTAGCGGAGATGAGGAACAACAACAAACCTCAGCTGTTGTTCGTTTGGAGCAAAGACGTAAACGTGCCAATCCAAATTTTCAAAGTACCAAACATCTAAAATCTAAAAAAGAACGGAACAATAAAGACTCCAGCTCGTCGAGCAGTGAAGACAGCGATGATGATAAACGTGTAACCGTGACATATAAATCCAAACGAACAGCAGCACCAAGTGGACCCCAAGATCAGGGTGCAACATCAGTTTTGGAAATCGACACCGAAATTGATCGTGATGCCCAAGCGATACATGAAAAGGCCATTAAAGTCAATGAAGAATTGGAGGGAATGGCCGATGATAAAATCTACAGGGGCCTTAATAATTATGCCCAATACTATAAGAAAAAAGACACCGCCGCTGGTAATGCTAGCTCTGGTATGGTACGCAAAGGACCGATTAGAGCTCCAGCACATTTACGTGCCACCGTTCGATGGGATTATCAACCGGATATTTGTAAAGATTACAAAGAGACGGGTTATTGTGGCTTTGGTGATAGTTGTAAATTTTTGCATGATCGTAGTGATTACAAGGCAGGTTGGCAATTGGAATTGGATCATGCTGCCCAGCAAAAGGGTGAATGTGAATCCGATGATGATGATACAAAATATGAAATACATTCGGATGAAGAAACATTGCCATTTAAGTGTTTCATCTGTCGCCAAAGTTTTGTTAATCCCGTGGTTACAAAGTAAGTTTGGGGTATTTTTTTATATAGTAATTTATTGAATAATAATATAATATTTGTTGTTTCAGATGTAAACATTATTTTTGTGAAAAATGTGCTTTGGAACAGTATAAGAAGAGCCAGCGTTGCTTTATTTGTTCCCAGCAAACAAATGGCATTTTCAATCCGGCCAAAGAATTAATAGCCCGTCTTAAAAATGCCGGAGATGATGATGATCATCATCGTGGACATAGTGATTCGGAGGAAGAGGCTAGTGATTAAGTTTGCTATATTTTGATATATATATTTTTTTAAATAAATTGTTTACGCATGTAATCAATATGATTTCGATTTATAACCTACAAAGTGTTTGTAGCACCATGAAATTCGGTCCCTACATCCACTTTTGCGGGAGTATAAAACATGTATTTTAAATCCTCACTTGGTAGCAAGTCTTCCTGCCAATAATGACATATATCGGTCCTCTTTATTATATCTCCCATATAACGGTGCTCTCCATTATTCAGTATGTTGACGATTTTTGGCATGTTTATAACCGAATTGGCTGTAAATTGGTATTTTGGTTTCCTCTTGGGTAGAAAATCTACCTACCAAAAATTATTGATATCGGTCCACTTTTTATGATAGCTCCCCTATATTAGTATCCTTCATTATTCAGTATTTTGGGAAGTTTGGACACATTTTTCAATCAATTTGGCTATAATATAATATATTTGAATCCTCATTTGGTAGCAAAACTTTTTGCAAAAATGATCAATATTGGTTCAATTTTTAGACAAGTTTTTTTTTCAGAATTAGCTGTAATTTGGTACTTTGGGTTCCCATTGGGTGGCAAATCGCCCTATAAAAAAATATCGATATAGGTCCACCTTTTAGTATAGAACCCCTGTAACCTTACCCTCATTATTCGGTATTTTGGGGAGTTTGGGCTAGTTTTTTAGCCGAATTGTCTGTAATTTAGAGATTTGGGTTCCCATGGGGTAGTAAATCGTTCCATCAAAAATGTTCGCTTTTTATGATAGTTCCCATATAGCAGAACTCTTAATTATTCGGTATTTCAGAGTTTTTTAGCACGTTTTCCAACCGAATTGGATGTAATTTGGTACTTTGAGTTCCCATTGGGTAGTAAATCTCTCTTCCAAAAATGATCGATATCGGTCTAATTTTTATGATAGCTCCCATATAGCGTTAATCTCCATTTTTTGGTATTTTTGCGATTTTTGGCACCATTTTGTTAGCGAATCGGCTGTCATTTGATATTTTGTGTTACCATTGGGTAGTAAATCTCTCTTCCAAAAATGATCGATAGCTCCCATATAACGGTACTCGCCATTATTGGATATTTTATGGATTTTTTGAAGTTTATTAGCCAAATCGGCTGTTATTTTGTTCTCATTGGGTGTCAAATCTTCCTACCATGGCATAGCCCACCATGTATGAAGGTCCCGAACGATTACTGGTATTTTAAACGTCCATCTCATGGTAAAGGGTATAAAAAATTCGGCCAGGACAAACTTAACAACATTTTTAAATGTTTAAAAATTAAAGTTTTAAAACCTACTTTAGATAACAACCCGATTAAAATTATTACAATTACATCGTGTGCTTTGGAATATCTTGCATATGCGCTGACACCTTCTCCTTATCGCATTTACATATCTATGTATGTATATGCCGGCGAAAGGAAATGCGTTTCGTTGCAAAGGACCCACAGCACCGAACATTTGTTATGTTTAATGTAATATTTACTCGGCATGACATGGCGCAGTGTATGCGGAAACAACAGAACACAAATCTCTTGTTGTTGTTCGTTTTGTTGTTATTGCCATTGTTTGAATGCCTTGTATGGTGAGATCCGGTATTCGATTGCCTTTAGTAACACTTGCCTTTTATTTTCTGACACCTCAAAGGAAAGCAAAACTATGCGGATGTACAACATTGGATATGTGATAAGGTATAAAATTGCAATACTGACATCGAGATATAAATATCGAATGATATTTCCTTGTCGGCAATGTTCCGAATGGGAAGAGTGTAAATATATATCGATGTAATAGAACAATTGTAGAAACTTCAATAAAAAACAATGCTATTACTATTTTCGAAGTGTTGTTTTGTGAATGTTCTGAAATTTGTTTTACTTCTTAAAATATTTAGAACTTAATCCACATGCTTAATAGAAAAAATAAGAAATTCCATATTAAACCGGACACATTTTTATATATGTATATAGTCACTTGTAATATCTTGTAAATTATGACTAACAGTCAAAACCTAAACACGATTCTTTTAAAAAGGAAATTCACATAATTTTGTTTTTTTTTTTTGCTTTTTTAAAATAGTTTGTATTCTTCTTCTCTGGGTTTAGTTTACTTCCTAAACATGTAGGCCCGTTCCTTTATTTATTATTTAACACTTTCTTTAACAATTTCCGCTAAATAGTCTCTTCCGAACAAAAAACGATTGTCAACTTAACATGATAAAAATGCTCAAACGGATAGAGAAAAATGCATCAACCTTTTGTCCGCCTTCTATTGTTTATGTTTAAGCTTAGCGTAATAGCAATAATAAAACCAGTAAGGAAAGTAATAAAGTTGGACGGGGCCGACAATATGATACTCTTCACCACTTTGGGTATATTCTACATATGTATCCTAACAGACTTAGCCGATTTCAAGGAAACTTGTCCGAGATTAATTTATATTTATTTCAATAAGTTGTGTCAATCGACCTAGCTATGCGTCTTTAGTGCAACATTTACTTAAAGACGGAAGAAAATATATATAGGAGCTATATGTAAATCTGAATCGATTTCAAAAACAACTCGACACACGTAAAGTTAAACTAACTTAAGTACATTGTACAAACTTGTGTGCCAATCGGACAAACTTTGTGTCTTTAGTGCACAAATTACATTAAATCGGACGAAAATATATATGGGAGCTATATTTAAATCTGAATCGATTTTCACGAAACTTAGCACACATCATTCTAGACTTAATTAAGTACGCTATGCCAAATTTCGTGCAAATCAAAAGATATATAAGGACTTTGGTACACCATTTACATAAAATCGGACGAACCTATATATGGGAGCTATATCTAAATCTCAACCGATTTTCTCGAAACTCAGCACACATCATTCTACACTTATTTAAGTACGCTATGTCAAATTTCGTGCAAATCAAAAGATATATAGGGATTTTGGTACACCTTTTACATAAAATCGGACGAAACTATATGTGGGAGCTATATCTAAATCTGAACCAATTTTCACGAAACTCAGCACACATCATTCTAGACTTAATTGAGTACGCTATACCAAATTTCGTGCAAATCGAAAGATATATAGGGACTTTGGTCCACCACTTACCTTAAATCGGACGAAAATATATATGGGAGCTAAATTTAAATCTGAACCGATTTTCACGAAACTCGGCACACATCATTCTAGACTTAATTAAGTACGCTATGCCAAATTTTGTGCAAATCAAAGGATATATAAAGACTTTGGTACACCATTTACATAAAATCGGACGAAACTATATATGGGAGCTATATCTAAATCTCAACCGATTTTCTCGAAACTCAGCACACATCATTCTAGACTTAATTGAGTACGCTATACCAAATTTCGTGCAAATCAAAAGATATATAGGGACTTTAGTCCACCACTTACCTTAAATCGGACGAAAATATATATGGGATCTAAATTTAAATCTGAACCGATTTTCACGAAACTTAGCACACATCATTCTAGACTTAATTAAGTACTCTATGCCAAATTTCGTGCAAATCAAAAGATATATAAGGACTTTGGTACACCATTTACATAAAATCGGACGAAACTATATATGGGAGCTATATCTAAATCTGAACCAATTTTCACGAAACTCAGCACACATCATTCTAGACTTAATTGAGTACGCTTTGCCAATTTTCGTGCAAATCGAAAGATATATAAGGACTTTGGTACATCATTTACATAAAATCGGACGAAACTATATATGGGAGCTATATCTAAATCTGAACCAATTTTCACGAAACTCAGCACACATCATTCTAGACTTAATTGAGTACGCTTTGCCAATTTTCGTGCAAATCGAAAGATATATAAGGACTTTGGTACACCATTTACATAAAATCGGATGAAACTATATATGGTAGCTATATCTAAATCTGAACCGATTTTCACGAAACTCAGCACACATCATTCTAGACTTAATTAAGTACGCTATGCCAAATTTTGTGCAAATCAAAGGATATATAAAGACTTTGGTACACCATTTACATAAAATCGGATGAAACTATATATGGTAGCTATATCTAAATCTGAACCGATTTTCACGAAACTCAGCACACATCATTCTAGACTTAATTAAGTACGCTATGCCAAATTTCGAGCAAATCGAAAGATATATAGCGACTTTGGTACACCATTTACAGAAAATCGGATGAAACTATATATGGGAGCTTTATGTAAATCTGAACAGATTTTCACGAAACTTTGCACACATTATTCTAGACTTAATTGAGTACGCTTTGCCAAATTTCGTGCAAATCGAAAGATATATAAGGACTTTGGTAGACCATTTACATCATATCTGAACCGATTTTCCACAATTTCAATAGGGTTCGTCCTTGGGTCAAACAAATGAGCTGTACCAAATTTCATCCAAATCGGATTATAAATGCGACCTGTACTTTGTTTACAATTTAACATCAACAGACGGGCGGACGGACATACATACATCGAAAGGAACCATGTGTCTATCTCGTTTCCTTATGCATGTTACAAGGCGTGGCATCAAGGCATGGATTTATTAAAAAAATATTTTTATAAGGACTATACAGGCGTGAATTTATTAAAAAATATCTGTTTCAAAGACCATCAAGGCGTGGATTTATTAAAAAAATATATGTTTCAAAGACCATCAAGGCGTGGATTTATTAAAAAAAATATCTGTTTCAAAGACCATTGTTAGTTGTAGGGTACACATAAAGAACAAAAAAAAAAGGATATATGATATTCCGCTTCAACTAAACGGTCGTCATGTTCCTCCTAGACAATACCATTTGGAAGTGTTGTTTTGGCCAAGGGCCAAATTGAACTAAACAAACAAAACAACTTCGAACCGCTGCAGTATAACTAAAAGTCAAGGTGCAAAGGTTGGAGGTGTATGGGGGGAGGGGCGTGTAACATTGCCGTTGTAACTGTATAACTTAAATGACTATCAAAGTGCTTTCCGTACTGTCCGTCT